AATAAAAAAAAGCGATTGTTAAAGAAATGATAAAGAAATCAAGTGTTGCCCTTTCTCTTGGCCTGGATTCCATATGATAAGACTTGAGAACGCAGATCATAGTTTCATGCAATGTCACAATAAAATCCTGTTAGTATTGCTTCTGTTTGTCCAAACACTTCCATCCAACACTGCCCTCCATGTTTGGCTGTATCATCTCTTTTGTATACCAAAGCAATTGTCTATACAACAAAACAACAACAATGTCAAGAGAAAAACAAAAGTATGTTGACTATGACAAAGACTTGAGATTCATCAAGGGCAGAGCCTTAGGAGATGGTTTTGTCCAAACTACAAACTAGCCCATATTGATGCACAATGAGAAAGTCATAGAAGATAATCTTATTACCAATTTAAACCTTGATAACCATTGAAGCTGGCAAGTGCACTCAACCTGTAGTACCTCAACTCAATCCTTGTCCATCCAACATGGTTGCTGGCTTTATTTCTCATCAGATTCAGCATGTTCTCTGGTATTTCAGTTCCATCCACATGCACATGTATCACTGCAATTATGAACCATGAATTTCCCAAAAGAAAACTATAAAGGAGGCACAAACATGTTCTTTGGTTTATCACAAAATCTACTTTCACCCAGTTACATGATAACAATCTAATTCCTCACTCCATGTGTATATCCAGGATATTATGTGTGATCAAGTAATCCAAAAAGTAATATAGGAGTATGAAGTGGACAGTGATTCAATAGTTTCACTGCCATGACCATAAACAATTGGGAGCCTTGCCGATTTCCATAGTGTTGCCTAGCTCCATCCAACATGCAGCTGAAGCAAACATGACTACTACTAACTGTAGTGGCTGGGATTGCCCCACTTCATCTCCAAAAGCTTCTTAGCAGCTCGTTGGCCAATCTCTTTGTTCCCACGAACCTGAGAAGCACCAACAAGGGTAGCTAACATTGCAACGCTTGGCTCAAAAGGCATTTGATTGATTAACTCTTCTGCCTTCTTGAGGAGACCTGCCCGACAGTATAAATCGACTATGCAAGAGAAATGTTCCAATCGAGGTGCAATGCCATATACACTGATCATGTGGTTGAACAACAACTGTCCTTCAGTCACAAGTCCCGAGTGGCTACAGGCTGAGAGTATGGCTACCATTGTTACATGGTCTGGTTCAATCTCACTGCTAATCATCTGCTGGAATAGCTTCAACGAAGTGATTCCTTCCCCCTGCATTCCGTAACCTGCAATCAACAAAGTGTAAGAGACCACATCACAATCTCTCATAATGTTGAAAAGCCTTTGGGCAGTTGCCATTCTTCCTGATTTGGAGTAGATACCAATGAGAGAGTTGCCAAGGGCCAGGTGGTCTTCAAATCCCTGCTTGGTTATATAACAATGTAGTTCTCGTCCATGCTCGAAGTTCATAACACGAGTGCACAAGGAAAGCATGGTTATAACTGTAACAAAGTTGGGTTGCATGCTAGAGCCGATCATCTTATGGAAAAGAAAATAGGCTTCCTCTGGTTTTTCTGCATGCAAAGCTCCTGAAATCATGGCATTCCAAGCAATCAGACTCTGCATGGCATTAATTCTAAACAGAATGTATGCATAGCTTGTGTGCTTGCACCTGGAGTACATTGTGATCAAAGCATTCACAATATTTTCAATCCCGTCGCAGTGAATTCGAATTGCCACTCCATGAATCTCCTTTCCAATCCTCACAGACTCAACTTTAGAACATGCCTTTAGTCCAATGACCAATGTCACATGATCCACAGCTGAACCACTGATTCTCATCCGGGAGATCAACCTTAGCACTTCCCAATGGTTACCCAACTGCAAATTCCCTGAAACAATAGCATTCCAAGTTACGGTGTTCACTCCTGGGCCCTCAAGCATCGACTGTAGCAACTCAAACGCCTCCTCCCACCTTCCTACCGAAGCATATGCCGAGATCATCGAGTTCCAAGTAATAACATCTCTCTCAGGCATTCCATCAAACAGCCTCCTCGCGGCGTCCACTGCACCGCACTTCACATACATTGCCACTAAAGAGTTCCAAGCGCACAAATCCAATTCTATCCCAGCGGCATCCATGCAAACATGAATCTCCCTTCCTAAGCCCAGGTCACCCATCTCGCCGCAAGCGCGGAGAACGGACGAGTAGGCATGCTTGCCCACCCTCACGCCCCTCTCAACCATTTGCTTGTAGGAAAAAATCGCACCTTTCCAACGCCGGCAGCGGGCATGCGCAGATACGAGGAAGTTCCAAGCCAAAGAACGGTTATTGCTCGAACTTTCGGCTAAAGAGGTGGCGTCGGAGAGGAGACCGCCTGCGGCGTAGAAGGAGGTGAGATTGGGAAGCAGGAAGGCGTGGTCCTGGAAGCCGAGGGCGAGGACGAGCCCGTGGAGCTGCCGGCCCTCTGGAATGGCGCTGCGGGAGGTGCAGCACGAGAGGAGGGACGACAGAGGGCGCAGAAGAAGGGCCACGTCCGGGGAGCGGAGGCGGAGGTCGGAGAAGGCAGCGAAGGCCTCGGACAGGTGGCCGACGGCGGAGGCGGAATGGATGAAGGCCACAATGGAGCGCAGTTGAGAGCTGCGTGCAGCCGAAGGGAGGGCCTTCGCCGGTAGCACCGGTGCTTGGGAGTTGGTAAGGGGAGAGGGGAGAGCACTCCACCATCGTATGGGGATGCACCTGTGGATGTGGTCGAAGGTGTTCGATGAAATACTGGGAGGAGAGGAGCGCATCAACGTCTCGACGCATCACGGTGTGGTGCGGCGGAAGTGGTGGTTTGATTCATTTGAAACGCATCTAATTGTTTGGATTCGGAAATGGCCATATCGGGCAGCCACGGAACCCAACAAATAAACTAATCAAACCCGATCCGATGAGCTGTCGGGTCGGACGCAACTCTCTCTTGCAAAGAGGAGGCATGATTAGGGAAGTAATCCAGAGTAGTCCGTTTATAAACCTGGATCGTCGGATCTAACTGGACGGTCAAGATCGACCTTGTATGTTTCTCGTCCTCGTGACATCTGTTTGGCTGCTCTCGTTTAGCTGCATGGATCAGTCAATGCAATATTTAGAACAAGATGATATCTATATAAAAAAGACAATAAATCAAGAGAAACACAAAAAGTTATGAGAACTAAATTGCTTGCTGCAAAGACACAACATTCGTCAATCTCATACACTCAGTTACAGCGAGCCCAACGTTACAAGAGGCTACCTGTGGATTGATCACCATCTGTATACCCAACCAGCACTGATGCTGTCAACTTACAATAACAATCCAAGCTTCAAAGCTAACAGATCCAAGTAAAGAAAAATGAATCAACAACTTTGGAGAACATAGGTCAGCTCCCAATTGATATCGCTTCTGCTTGGAATTCAAGTAGTGAATTAAGAAAGAGATCCAGAGAAAATGGAGAATCACTGAGACAGGTATAACAAATATAGGTCGATGCCGCAGAGCACATGGAGGCGGCAAAACTCTACACAGGTATTCCTGAGAAGCCATCCAGTCTAAAACTGTGAAAATTCACTTTAGGAGACTTAAAGACATGAGCAAAAAAATTGATCTATACATACCGGTGACAAGTGAAAGTATCAGATATCGGCAGGGTATATTTAGATCCACATGTGAATACATATGCACCATCAGAATGACTCTTTTCCATTCTTTTTGGCATACCAACTCAAACAATGATGCCATTATTATGTAGCAACAGATCACTATCATTGAATACCTTTATGTATCAAATATTACCCATGGGAAGAGATTTTCAAAATAAAAAACCCAAGATTCTGTAAGCTACCCAGTTTATTAAAGTTGCTACTGCACACACCTACATGACAAAAGCCTTTAGTTACAGTAAGCTTTGGTCACATCAAGAATTTTGTCACCTATGACAAGTTGTTTATAATCATTACAAACCTATCTAAGCAAAAAATGATAAGTAAACTGATAATATCTTAAAAGATTAGCATAATCGTATCACAACCACAGTAGTAACAGTAACAGATATAATGAGGAAAAAATATAATCCAAATATGGCATATCTTCAACTTGCATGCATTGCACACAAAAGCTGTAATCACTTTGGCATATACAGCGACATTACGGTTATTTAATCATAATACTGCATCTTGAAGCCGTATAGATTTCAGTCATAGTCAAATGACTCAATCATGTCTTCGGTCACATGAAAAACATTTTAGAACACTTGTTAGTAGATTTCCAAATAACATTCCACATCTTCCTCCCACCAGTGTACTTCAGTATCCAACAAGATTACAGGAGAATCATCTTAAAATAAGAGTGGTCATTAGTTCTAATACTCTAAAATTTGCCAAAGATACTGTTAAGAACTTCATGTTATCCTTGAGAAAACCAAAAATTGAAGCATCAAGCTTCACAATCTACTGAAGCTGCTCTAAAACATATCCCATTCATAGATACAATTCAATCAAAGATTGTGTGTCCAAAACAAAATCAGAAATGAAAAAAGACAACAAAAGCACCAACAAATTGGCATATCTCAGAAAATTCCTACTCTCGGATCATTTAGCACCACCTATCACATTCAGTGAAATTTGAACGATTCATGCCACAATTGTGGCGGTTCAGTAACCTAAAATATATCCACAACAGACATGCTATACCCATCAACCATAAAGAATGAGTCACAGCTACATTTTTGACAAATCCTTTCCAATTCAATCACAAACCAGTGATGGCAATTTAGCCCGGTTGGGTTCGGTTTTGTACCAGGCAAAATTTACTGGTCCAAGCCCAGGGCAATCCGGTCTGAACCATTAAGAAAATATAACTGTTTAAAGAGAATGGAGTTGCAATTAGGGATCGCGACTTCTCCCTCTTCCTCTGCTTAACGTTGGCATCCATCGCCGCCTGCCTCTCTGTTGCCCACTGCACGCCGCCAACATGGTTTTGGGGTACTCTTCCTCCATTGCCTTTCTTCCTCTTCTTTTCTTCCTTCTTCTCCTCCTCCTCATCTTCTTCCATCTTTTTCTTCCTCCTCTTCTTCCTTCTACCTCTTATCCTTCTTCTTCCTCTTTATTCTTCCTCTGCTTTCTCTTCCTTCTCCATCCCCTCCTCTCCCTCCTCTAATCAGTTTGTGGTACATTCCAGTACCGACACAAGGTATGCCGAAATGGATCAGATCCATACCAGTCCAGCCATGGACCAGCACAAGTCCAGTAAATGAAACTGCAAACCATGTCACAAACTACACAGAAATCCGTTTGCATAAGTAGAAAATCTATTTGGAGTTTTTTTATCCACTGCAACCTTATATTGAGAGAGTGAACAAACAAGATGCAAATAGTTATAAAGCCAGTTAACAAGTGCATGAATCAAATAAGGACAGGAAGTTGATTACAGTGCCTTCGTTTTCCAAGTTAATGTGAAGGCTTCAGTCAATTAAAGACAATAATTCACAGAAGCACGTGAACGGCACATGACCAAATGTCATGCAGAATGTGTTGAATACACTTTCCATCTAAATGCACTGTAACTGAAAAAACAAAATGATGTATTCCTTGTGTTTTATTTACTTGATTTATTCCACCAACTTAGAAAATTATTGAAAAATTATCTTTTCTACTTTGATTTGTATCCTTCACAACGTCTGTTATACCGCCCAAATTAATATGGTACGGGCAGAATGGACCAATACAGGCATGGGTCGATACACGGATCACCTCATTTCAGGCAGTCCAGTTAAATCAATAAAAAATAAAAAATGGTGGGGCCTTCTCCAAATCAGCATTTGAAAAAAACATATTAGGGCTCATGAACATAAGCTCTCTTCTCGCGTAAGATGGTGCTGCCTCGCTGTTGCCGCTTCACCACTGCTACTTCAATGCTTCCTCGCCGCTGCCACTTTGACGATGTCATTCTCCTGCTTCCCAGGTACGCTGTTGCTGCTCTTTTCCTCCTCGCCAAACCATCGGTACACACCAACATACCATATGTTTGTACATCGGTATAGACCAGTATGTACAATTCTATCAAATTGTCGAAACATGTTTGGTACCCAAAAAAGGCAATCCTTATTCTTTCATGTGAATTTATTAACTATAGTTGAAAATTCAAAAAGCATAGTCATTTTTTAGGAAACTACCAGTAGCTTTTACATTTATTTTCAATATTCACACTGATAAATAGAAGTTTTAAACCAAGCACTAAATAAAAACAGAAATAGAAATATTTGAAGTTCGCCAAGAAAAAAAAAACAGCTTCGGTAAGTTTTGGTGTAAAATGTGACAAAGAATACCTAGATGGTATCTATACACTAATAGCATTGGCAAGAACATAAATAATGCATAACAACTTTATTCATTACATGACTTATTTAAAAAACACAAATGAACCTAAGTTATTTTATTCTTTATAACATGAATAGCTCGATCTAAGCTACATACACAACAACTTTGAGTTTGCAAAGAAAGAAGATAGCAAACCTGCAGCAGTCTTTCCCAGCAAAAAGTTTCCAAAGTGCTTCTTTAGGCTCCAATTCTGCAGTAGTAACTGTGGTATAATCTAACTTGCTCAAAAAGATGGCAACAGGACTGCCAGGTGAAGGGGGATTCTGAGTTAGCAATGAGATACATGAACCACCTTTACTTCTTACAACTTCATCTGATGCAGAGAGACTTCAACATGTTCAAGACCCAATTGCCACTTTATCAAGTCAGAATTCTTCTGAAGAACCTGAATTTCACCAAAAGGGAGCTTCAAATCCAGAGCCTGTGGACCAACAGACAATGCTTCATCCTTCTTGAATTTCAGGAATGGTATACAAAGCTTCTGGATTTGCTTAAAGTTCGAATCCTGCCCAATGACACCCTGCTTTAATGCTTCAAGTATCTCCTGATCAGGTGCATAAGAGCATCTCTCTCTGTCAAATTTGCTGTGAAGTATCCTCAACCATTCTTCTTTCCACCCATCAAATTGCTCATTCACATATATAAGACCCACTGTTAGTTTGCTTTCTTCTGTTGCAGGAATTGTAGCCCCTTTTTTAGCCTTCTTAGGACCAGACACTTGCTTCCGAAGCAACTTCCTCATTAACACTATTAAGTCCTGCAAGTACTTGTTAGCAATCTTGAGTGTAGGATCAGAGGCATCATACAGGGGCCAACCAGCAGTAACTACACAGCCATCCTTCTTCAAAATATTCTTCCCAACATCTCCGCATAGTCAGGACAAATTGGTGTAATGAGCCTTGTCCGAACATCCATGAACCGCCACAACAATTCACCGTTCATACCTCCTGCTCCACGAGAACCTGTAAGAGGTTTCTGAGACAACAAGAAACAAGCCCTACAGACAAAACCATAAAATAGTGAAAATCAAAGAAACTATGGCTAGTCAAAACTTTTTGTAGTATATTCATCGATTCAACCAAAAACTACCAATAAATCCAATTTAAAGATCCTAAGAGCAGAAAAAAAAATTATGTGAAAACCAACAGCATGAAAGTAAAAAAATCTTTGTTTAAGAAATCTAACCTACAGATAAATCAATAACACAAATGACAGTGAACTTAGGAAAAGAAAACTAAATGTGTTTAGTTCTCATCTAAAAAAAATCAATGGCACGTAATTTCAAGACCAGCAATGAAAAATTAGGGATAAGAGGTTGACTTCATTTCTAAGTAATGGATGATTCGACACTCAAAATATACCATTGAATCATTATAAAGAGCAGGATAAACTAATAACACACAGAATAGCAAATTTAAGGAAAGGGAAGTAGATGCATTTAGTTATAGTTGGCTTTCTTAAAGTCTTATTGGTGAAGTGTCTCATCTATAAGAGGAATCCATAAAACGCTATTTCAAGACTAACGGCGAATAATTAAGAATAAAATGCTAACTTTTTTCTCAGCAATTGACGATTCAACACTATACAAATTCGTATTCTAATGATTATATCATTATAATGAGCAGGATAAACCAAAAATGCATTTTTTTTCTCATTTCCAATTACAATTGAGATATCATTCTGCCGAAACAAAACTAAAAGGCAATTCCCCCTTTTTCTTTCGTATCCAACACATAATTACAATAAGATGGAACATACAGTTAAAGGAAACCAAGCGAACTCAGATAGGAGTGCCACACCCACAAAACCACCCAAAAACCATAACATCCGCAGAAACGCAACTGCTTTCCTTCCCGACGAACATTCCAGAAGAGAAGAACAGCAAAACAACAATACAGAGCTAACATCACAACACAAATCGGTGTAAAAAAAAGACCATCTTTTAACGCAACGCAAAGCAATTGAACGATTACGAAGAGGAACCCGGGACAGATAGAACAACAGCTTCAGCCCCCCGGGAAAGCACAGATCGAATGCTCCCCTAGAAAGAATTCGATTCGAGAACCTAAGCCAAGGAAAAGGACTCCGGAGGAATCGCCACAAAATGAGAGACCGCACCACGAGCGACCAGGTAGTAACTACGTTTAGGTTTAACGTTTGTCGTAGCACGTCCGTCTCCGGTTTAAAGAACCGGGATTTGCCGTACAATTTTATATCGTCCAAATTACTTTTATATATATATATATATATATATATATATATATATATATATATATATATATATATATATATATATATATATATATATATATATATATATATATATATATATATATATATATATATATATAT